AGTATGACCATTTTCTTTAGAAAACCCAAAAATAAAGCAAAAAGAAACAAAAGGCTCGAAGTTCTAAAGATGTTGCTTGAAAAGAAGGGGAAAGGATCAAATGGTTAGGAATAAGGCAAATGTAAACCCAATGAACTAAAAAGAAAGAAAAATCCTAGAAATGAAAAATTACCAACCTGAAAAGTTGCCTTTGTCCTTCCTAGTTGGTTCGATCGCGTGTTTGAGAATTATTAGTCAAGATTCAAGATTAGTCATGCAAAGGTCAAGGATCCACGCCACACAATCATAATATGATGAAGGCTTGAAAAAGAAAAATCCTCTCACGGTTGTAGCAAAAACTTACTAAAGGTGTCAAATCCATCAAAGGAAGCAACTCTGTCTTACCACAAACCAAAAGAATCCGGCTACAGGGCCCCAAAAGGTCTAAACTGATACCTTAGCAAACCTTATCCTAGAGTCAACCGCAAATACTCTTAAAGCATGCACACCAATTCAAAGGCCGAATTGTAGAATGTCCAAAGATAAGAGCTAAACAAGCAAAAAGAAAAAAAAAAATAGCCTCAAATATGTTTTTTTTTAATTGAAAGAAAGAAAATAACTAAAAATCAAAATATAGAGAGAAAAGAACAAGAATGCAACAAAATACACGTAATACCCAATCATCAAACAAGAAGTCATTCGGCAACAACGCCAATGACCCTTAACACGCTAGGTGTTAGAAGGCAAACATCCTTGAACCATCCAACTTATCTTAGAGCTAATCCTAATCTAAGCAATCAAGAGAAGAAAGAGAAGATAAATAGAAAGATCTCACCCGGCGCCAAAGCTATGCTACATAAATCAAGGTGAAAGAGCACCTTACGAATCGACGAAATCCAAAGCATAAGCAATAGAGCAAGGTGAGAAATAAAGAACTATATACAAAGAAAATTGTTAGTAACTTCAAAACAAAATAAAAAGAAGAAAAGAAAGAAAATAAAATGCATGAAAATAAAGATAAAGCAAGTAATAATAATAACAGAAATAGAAACCAAAGAGTATAGGGAGCAGTATCATCAGACTGATACAGTAACGGGAATTAATATGTCAGATAATCATCATCATGAATCATCATAGCAGAGATACAGAGAAATGAAGTAGACAACGATCAGCGAAACAAACAACAAAACCAATAGCCGGGCAGATAAATAAACAAAAGCATAACATAATCATCATAAAAACAAAAGGACATAGAGATCAATAAAAGAAGCATATAAGACCAGGAATGAACTATAAAAGCAAGGGGGGAAATGGCGAAGCACAATAACAAACGACATAGAACACCCCCAAGCTTAAAATGGGTTATAGCCCCTAACTCTAGACCTAAAGACATATAGGCAATGCAGAAACATCATATAAAGCACATAAGAAGGGGGAGTAGCCATGATAGTATCACTCCGCACTATGGTAAGGGGTACAATGAGAACTGCCCTCACCGGTCTCCATCATATGACTAGAGCTAGCCATCTCACTCACCTCCAACGGGGCCTTACCCCTTAACCGACTTTCCCTCCTAATTCTATCAACCTCAAAATAATGAGACCAATCATCTAAGACCGGATCACCCGACCTACCCCACCTATCAAAAGTCTCGAGGTCCGAAAAAGGCGAAGGATTAACCAGATCATATGCATAATCACAATCACCAGGCCGCCTATAGTCGTAAGTTCCCAGGGTAGTGCCTATGATAGAACTAGGGTGAACATGAGGGCCCTCCCAATAAGGGTAACAAGGTCTAGGACCCATAGTAGGATCAAAAGACTCCCATTGAGGGAAAGGTACTTGTTGGACCGGGAGATACGGGTAATTCACATAAGGCTCGATCTCCCCCCTCCAAACATGCAAATCATACAATTGACACATATGATAGTCATAACCAAGATAAGGATGTTGCATAAAAGGCATGGAGTATAACACATTAGCGATAGAATCAAGCTTGGAATTAATGGTTGACATTTCAAAAGTAGAAGGAGTGGGAGAGGGGGAAAGAATAGGTGTACCTCCCGGTTCCACCGGGGGAAGAGTATGAGCATTCGATGAGAAGGCATTTGTTGAGCGACCTCTTGTATGATTCGTCCTTCGTCGAATATAAGGATTAATATCTCGCACCGGGGGACGCTAGGACAAGGAATATTTCTCCTCATGTCAGGTGGTTTCCTCCTTTCATGGGATGAGGAACCATTCCTTAAACCGAGAAACTTTCCAAATGAAAACATCATCCTTCCTAGATCAATCGAGAAACTTTCGATTCACAAGGGCGGAGATGTTGAGGAAATGAGAAGGAGATTTTTCTCGAGGATCGATAATCGAGGGAAGCTCATCTTGCAAAGTCTTGTAGTCATCATTAATGCAAAGAGCTAGGATAGAAATCATCCCTCCCAATTAGATGCACCCCGATAGGCAAACTCCATCACGGATATTCAAGAATCGAGTTATCAAATGCTCCGTGAAATCCATTGACTCAATCTCAAAGTCGTTTTGGTCAGCTATCCACAATAAACAAAGCTCTTCTCGGGAGATAGCTCCCAAAGAGTCCTTGGAGCAAAGAGCGTATGTGTGGATAATGTTGAAATATCGCATAGCCGGATGAATTATGGAAGCTGACTTGGAAGTTTGAGGGTCATACTTTCCTTCCTTTGAGATACTCCTCCATCAACGTTGCTCATCATATCCATGATCACTTGTCATTCTACTATGTGCCAGATAGATACAATGATCCGCATCCTCAGCCCAAGGAAACATTAAATATGAACATAGTTGAGCATCCATCAATGTGTGATCGTTGTTGAAGAGTTGGAAAGTCAAAATCCTTTAGGAATTTGCACCCAGTTCTTGGACAACTTCAAGAGAAGAAAGGAATTCATAAGCCACCCTAACATAAGTAGGGGCACTCAAATCCAAAAACTCTAAAAGATCAAGGCCCACTACAAGAAGGCGAACATCCTCATCAATCCCTAGAAACTAGGTAGTTGCTTGATCGTAGAATCTTGTTGGTCTAAGTTTCCTCTTGGATAAACGCTTGAAACAATCCCAATGTGATTCTTCGGAAAATACAATGCCATTTGTTTCCTTAACCTCGGGTGGAGGTGGAACAACATGCCTAGGCTTGCTTGAACTTTATCTAGCTCGCTTCTTTTGACGGAGTGGGGCCATCTAAAAGAAGGAAAACAACTCATGAGCAAGACTTAACATTTTTCATATTTCAAGAATAAGCATAAGTAATTGCTCAAGAATCAAGCACAAATGAAATTATCTCATAATAGAAGCAAGAGATGGCTACAAATGAACAATGTCATTAATATAAAATCATGAATTTGAAGCAAGTACGCATGGATTAAAGGCAAAATTGAACATAAGAGACCAAATTATGAGTCAAATTGTGAAAAATAATCTCAAGCATTTAATTATCAAAGATATAAAACCATCATAAAGAATACCCATGAGAGAGAAAATAGCCAACAATGGTTATTCAAGAATTCAATCAAATTATACACATTTATCATGAGGAAGCTTCAATTCAACACTCAATGACATCATTCAAGACAAATTTCAAGTTAAAATAACTAACCATGGAGTTCCAGCATGAAAGCAAAACAAGGGTTTCAAGCTTGAACAATGAGGAAGAAGACGACTAGAAAATAAGAAACTATACCTCAATGAAGCCTTGAACTACTTGTAAAAAGCCCAAAATGAATATTTAAGAATAAATAGAACTCCCAAAGACAAGCTCAAAACCTCAACACAAAACTTCAAAAATTCGAAAAAGCCCTAATTTTTTTGATTGAATTTGGGTTAGAAAATCTGAAATTTTTAGGTTTTAAATTTGAAAACTTGATGTGGTAATTGTAATTGATGTTGAAATGATAGCAAAAGAGGTGAAATAGGTTTGATTTTGCAGGATAAGGTATAGGGTTTTAGGAGGGAAAGATGAGAGAAATAAGAGAGGAGAGCGCGTTTTCAGGTTATAAGGGCCGGCGACTGGTGCGTGCACTCTAGTGCACGCACCAAAAAACCGCGTTCGCTCCCGAATTCTCCACGCCCGCGACATCTAACCCGCGCCCGTGGGGAGTTCCTTGTCGGATTTGGTGATTTTTGAGATCCAGACACCGACGCCAGCGGCCATTAAACCCGCGCCCACGGGTAGTCTCTATGGTGCATGCGCGCAGCCTGGTGCGTGTGCACCACATGCAACTCGGGAGGGCTCTAAAATATTTTACCAAATGCAAAAAATTACGCAAAAATCACCGACCCCTATGGTTCGTGCGCGCGGGTGAGGAATGCGTGCGCACCATAGGATGATCAAAATTGTTTAAAATCGGCAATAATTTAGCAAAAGGTTAAAGAGAAACACCCTTAATTATGCTTTAGTGTTTGCATTCTTACCGTCCCTATCGAATGTCATTATCAAGTACTCAAAAATTTCATAAGAAACAATCTAAAATATGTTTGAACATGAATAAAACTCGATGGGAATGCAAACACGATAACATATAACCCGAACGAACCCCTACCTCTAAGCTTAACCAAACCTCATGAAATCTTGAAGTAACAAAAAAATTGTTGGAAATTTTCTCCGATCCAATTTCATGGTACCTAGGATCAAGAGAAAAAACAAAAATAAAGAGAAATAAGAAAAGTTCTCAAAGGAAGAAGTATAGAAAATGTTTAAATCAAAAGAAAAAGGTTAGAAAACCGGGTTGCCTCCCAGGTAGTGCTTGTTTAACGTCATAGCTCGACGTCCTCCACCAATTAAGGTGGTTGTCGGAGAAACAATGAGTGAACACAACTAACAAAAGAATCTTCGAAATACTTCACTATACAATTATCATTGGCCTTGAACGGAGAAGGAGAATCTTTCACTGAGACTTCTACAAAACCATTTGGAAAAACACTCTTGTCCAAATTGGGACCGCTCCATCTTGATCCCTTGATGCTAAGGTGTAATGGAAGAGGTTTGAGCTCTACCATAGGTACACCTTTACATTCCTTCGAATGGTAACTTGCAAAGCTTCTTGGCTTGAAATATTCATGCATATATGATCATCCATTTCCTCGATGCTTCCATTTAGCAAATCCTCATATATTGCCATTTCCTTGATAAGAGCACCTATCTTATATTTGTTCAACAAGACATTCTCAATGGGATCAATAGAAGTGAGCAAGTGCTCATGCATGGAAGATACAAAAATATCAAGAGAATCAATCAACATGCAATTTTCTCAAGAAGAACATGGATACTTCATGCTTTCATTCAAAACAAATTAAATGACCTCATCTCCTACCTTAAGTGAAATTTTTGCACTCTTAACATCAATCAAGGCACCCAAGGTAGCAAGAAAAGGTCTACCACGAATAATAGGAATTTTAGCATCTTCATCCATTTTAAGAACCACAAAATCTACCAGAATCACGGACTTCCCTACTCTCAAAGGAGCATCCTCTACCTTCCCCTTAGGAATCTTATTTGACCTATTGACCAATTGCAAGGTAATTTTAGAAGGCATAAGTTCCCCTAACTCAAGTCTTTGATAAATTGAATATGGCATTAGGCTAACACTAGCTCCTAAGGCACATAAGGCATTGTCAATTTGCATCTTGTTAATGGCACACGGGATAGAGAAGTTTCCGGGTTCTTTCAACTTGGGTGGCATCTTGTTCATTATAATTGCACTACAATTCTCGGTCAATTTGACCGTCTCCACAACATCACAAGTCCTCCTACATCTCAAAATGTCTTTGAGTGATTTTTGCATAGTTGGGCATTTGGGTAACAACTTCGGTAAATGTTAGAGAAAGATGAAGTTGCTTAAGCATATCAATAAATCTTCCAAATTGTTCATCCAACTTATGTCTCATGAACATTTGTGGATATGGAAGCTTGGTTTTCACAATTTCTTTTTCTACTCTCACCTCTATAGGTGTCTCAATCACAACCTCACTCAAAGATGCACCATCTCTCTCATTCTCTACCAAGACCTCCTTCGCGACCTCCTTAGCTTCACTCGTCCTAGGCAAACTCTCCTCAAGAACCTTACCACTCCTTGTAACAATAGCGTTCACAGGTCTCTTGGGATCTAAGCCTTGGGAAGGTAAATAATAAGGACTAGCATGGTCATTCAAAGCATTGGCAAGTAGAGAAATTTAGTTCTCAAGCATCTTATTATGAGTCATCATCTCATTGAATTTCTTCACTTACGACCACCTTGATTATGAATTCCATAACCTTGGTTTTGATTACCATAATTTTGGTTTTGATTTTGGCTACTATAACCTTGATTGTTATAGTTACCTCAAGAACCTTGGTTCCCTTGATTCCTATAACTACCACCTTGATTATAGTTGTTAAAATTACCATGGTTTTGGTAATTCCAATTCTATTCACCCCTTTGGTTATCAAACCTTTGCACATTATTATTGTTTGACACATAGTTCATATGTTCACTCTCATTGTTATCTAAATCATCATTACCATCCAAAAAAGCAAGAGGGCAATTACTAGCATCATGATCATATGAACCACATACATTACAAAACAAACAACCACTAGGCATGTTACTAAATAAATGAGGGGGATGAGAGTTAGAAGGAGTACCTCTCCCCTTAAATTGGGAGGGAAGACTTAAAGCTTAGGAAGAAGAACTCTCCAATTTTTCCTTGATTGTTATCACTTCCTTTCCCAAGTTTGTCATTTGTGAGGAGAGATTGTTGATTGCATTTAGATGATCAACCGAGTATGCCAAAGAGCTACTCTTTCTATTTTAATCTCTCTCACCATCTTGCCAATCTCTTTTTTTTCTTCCGTCCTATTCATGATGGGACCTCCGGCTCCCCAACCAAGGCATGACTTGCCTTGAGGACTTAATCCTCCATAAAAAATTTGAATAATTTTATAGGTTGGAATTTCGTGGTGAGGACACTCCCTTTGATACTCCTTATATCTCTCCCACGCTTCATAGAGGCTCTCACTTGGCTTTTGTTTGAAACCTTGAATCAAAGCTCTTGCCTCCGCCGTTTTATTTTGTGGATAAAAAGGGGTTAGAAATTCTTTTGTAACCTCGTCGCATGTCGTTAGAGAATTAGGCTTAACCTCCTTGTCTAGTCATTCCAAAGCACGCCCAATGAGAGAAAAGGGAAGAGCTTTAGGCGGATGAATTCTTGATAAACTCCGTTCACTTTGATCGTATTGCAATATTTTTCAAACTCCTTGAGATGGTTTAATGGGATCTCATGCTTGGCTCCACTAAATTGTCGTCTCTCTATCAAAGTGATCATAGCCGGCCTAATTTCAAAATCATTTGCCAGTGTTGTAGATGGAGGAATTCCACTCTCAAATCTATATGCATTGGGAATCCCCAATTCTTTAAATGCCACTCTCGGATTCTCTCCCATTCTTGCTTGTTCCTCTAGTAGCGGTTCTTCCTCACTTGAAATGCTAGAGCTCAAAGATCGCTTAGAAACCCGTAATCTTGTAATAGTCCTCTCAATCTCCGGATAAAATGGAACTAGTGAATGACCATGTGTTCTATGCATACAACTTCAAAAGAAATGATTAGTAGCACAGCTATATGTGTAGCCTAAAGAGGAAAATATTTTTTGTTTTATTTTAGAATGAAATAGAATCAACAACTATAACAACGCACCAATTTCATTCCTCGGCAACAACGCTATTTTGACAAGTGGAAAAACTAGGTCGTTATCTAATTCTCCCTTGGTAAAAATAAATTTAAAAACACTTAACAAACCTTATACAAGTATGCGGTAAGTCAAGGGTCGAACCCAAAGGAATGAGTAGGAACTAAGCTATAGTCTATTGTCAAGCTAAATCAAAGAATATCAATGGTTAAGGTTGATAACAAAAATATCAAGAAGATAGAAAAATCAAGGAATTCAATCAATATGCTAAACACTAGAGATACAGGTTCCACATGCAAGCTCAATGATTATGCTAATTGATAAATCGCTCAACTGATTTAAACAATACAAGGGACAAACGATAGTTGCAATCAAAGGAACTCAAAGATTATCTCCTATAAATTAAGCTAGGGTTCACTATGAATGGCTAACAAGGAGAATCACAATCAAATTCAATCAATTAAAGCAATTCTCAAAAGGGTTCATGTCACTGAAATTTGCAATGCAATCTAGATTATTCTTATTGGTTGATCACTCCTAGTCTAATTAATCACATGCACAACTATGCCAACCAATTTAATTGCAGCAATTCAATCAATCAATGATCATCAACTAGAAAAAATCATCAATCAAGCATGCTTCCCCTTATCCCTAGCAACTAATCTACTCACTAATCATGATGAATTTGAAAGACAAAACAAATTCAATCACAAACATATTCATTTCAAGATAAATCAAAAGGAAAATCAATCAATCAACAAATTCTCAAAACTAAATTAAAATTCAAACCAAACATTCAAGAATTAAAGAAAATTGCAATTGAAGTAAATTCAAAGGAAAGAAGTCTCACAAACTTTCATTGATATGAAGAAGTAATCCAAACTTGATTGAAGCAGTGTTGTAATACAAATCAAATCCAAGAATTCTAATCTCTACTTTCTCTCTAACATCTCTCTAATTTCTCTCTCTAAAAACTAAGCAAATGAAAGATTATCCGAAAGTTGCCTTCAAAAGGATTTACAAGATTATTATAGACAAAGAAGAAAAATTAATCAACCGCGCCCTCTCCAAGAATATCCCGCGGGCGCGGAGAAATGGGAACGGAACCCATAACTAACTCCGGGGGCAATCTGGGCAAGACCCGCGCCCACGGGTTTTGTAGCCCGTTCCCACGGCGAAGACACCCGCGCCCGCGACTAAGGGTGCGATAGATGCCCTGTTGCAATTGTAAATAGGGGGGCCGCAGTCTTTCCAAAGGGAGCGGTAACTTTAGATTCTCCGCGCCCGTGGCTAGACCGCAGCCATGGCGCGTAGTGTTCCTGCCTAAAATTCACACTTTGTTGCACTTAATCCGCGTCCGCGGCTCACAGGACTCGCGCCCTCGGAAATGGGTAGATGTAGAGCGCCCTCTCTGTTTTCCAGAAATAGAGTAAGAAATGAAATATTTTTTAAAACAGAAAGAGAAAAATTTTAATAAAAATATCCTCATCACTAGACTTTTCACACTTTCACTTCGTTCGATTAATCAAATGAAGTGAAAGGTATTCATTAATGGGTTTGGTTTTGGGGAGACACATTTGGGTGTCAAAAATAGTACACGCAAATAATAATACAATAGTCAAATGGTTTATTAACTAAAAATTTATTCAAGAAAAAATTATTACGCTCCACATATTATTTTGTATTTTGTAAATTTTTTTATAAAACTTAATGTCGTACCCCCGTTATCCAAATCTTGGATCCGCCACTGTAAAATACCATAGTTTAATTCTTATAATTTCATCAACTGACTAATGGCACCAACTTTTGATCATAATACAAGTTGGTTGAAAATAATTACATAATTTTAAATGTAATTAATCACATACCCTGTTTGTAAGTAGTAACTTCCAATATCAAGTTTTTTATTTTCGTAATTCTTAATCAATAAACACTAATTTTTCACTTCTTTATAGCTAGTTTGGGATTTCAATCAAGCTTGAAAAGAATATTGATATAGATATAAACACATCTTTGCAATTTGCATCTATAATAAAGACATATACTTCTCGTTATAACTCGCTCACCAATTTTAAAATCCCCGTTGAGAGGGCTAATTCACAAGGATATATATATATATATATATATATATATATAAATATATATATATATATATATATTATATATATATATATATATATATATATATATATGGTTTAGTATTTTAAACCGTATCAAATCAAGGATTATAATTATAATAGGGGAAATTGTATCTAAATCCTAATCATTATATGATTTGAAGTCAATTAGAATACAAAACGAACATGAATGCTATTGTTACGTAAAGTGACATAAAGAAAAGGCATATCAATATACCATACCATATCAAAATGATGTAGAATATACAAACACACTAACACACATTTATGCTTGTAATATAGAATTTGTCATATACAATTGTACAATAAATTATCACAAAAAAATTTCATAATTATGTTAAAACTGAATCACTCAAAATTCAATCACAAAATCATCTATACTAGGTATTACTGAAGAGCAAATAAAATTAATTTGTAATTATATTCCCTAACTAAGGAGTATTTTTACGAATTCAAATCACCAGAAGTATATAATTGAATTACCTGGTTAGACGATAGGATCAGATGTGTAGGCATCGTTCGTCGTCCGCCTACGTTAAGCATGTTGTGAATATGCTTGGCACTCATAGGAAGTGGGAATTGACATTATACAATTAGGGACAAGGAAAGTAGGGATCCGCCAACAAGTTTTTATGGAACTTGTAAACTGTTCACGGATCATTTACGTCAACCACGATAAAGGGACAACGAAAGGCAACAACAATTGACCTGAGAAGGTTACACCCCATTCCTAATCCATGAGATTACTAACTCCATATGGTTCAAAACCACGAAAGGAGGATCAAGGATGTTGGTATGAAGTGAGTCATGGAGTCACATTCGCCTGTATTGGCCTCTACTTGATTCTTATTGTGAAAAGTGATTCTTGCGATTTCAAAGGCATGCAACCA